CAGATAAAACAATTTACCACAACAGACCAGACATCACACTCATTGACAAACACAATAAAATCACATACATTATAGACATAGCCATTCCAAACACTCACAATGTACAAAACACATGCACTGAAAAAATTAGCAAGTACACAGAACTCGTCCAGGAAATAAGGCATCTGTGGAGGATGGATAGGGTGCTTATTGTACCTGTCGTTCTCTCCTGTACAGGTGTGATACCACACACACTACACAAAAGCCTGGAAACAGAACATTACAATTGAGTAGAAATAGATACATCACACTACAGAAGGCCACTATATTGAATGCATGTCATATTGTTAGGAAATTCCTGAATACAGACACACACTGACACACTTATTTAATTTTTGTCTGGTTTTGCTTACTATGCCTTGATTCTGGTCCGGTATAGTATACAGCCATCAGTATCAACCGAGTATAACTCACAAAACTCAACATAATAATAATAATATGTTTATGGCATTATGATATGATACTATTAGTGGAATTTCGTACGTTTCTGAGGGGAATATCATTTTGGTGTGCCGTGTTGAGCCATTTCGAGTCATAAGTGTGCCGCGAGTAGAAAAAGGTTGCGAAACACTGATCTAGAAGACCAAAAAATTTCGGAACTGAAACTGAATGTATATATCAGTCAACTGCATCGATCATCTTGGCGATTTGTTAGAAATGCTTGGTCCAAACTCAAATATACTAAAGAATGTAGCTCTTCATAAAAAAAATGTTCCATGCTGAATAAAAACATTGTTTCCAATCTTGATTGAAACACTACTAGATGATATGTCTAGGCCAGTGGTTCCCAACCTTTTTTCGTTAGCGTACCGCGTGACATGTCATATCTCTAGATTGTACCCCTCATTTAAGAAATTTAGTGAGTAACCGTATTGTTAATTTTACATATTGTAACTTTAAATTAAAGAAAAAAAACCTAAAAGAAAAAATGTATAATAAAGTTGTGATTGTTGCAAGAAACATTTTTTATCTAATAATTTTTTAATACTATTAGTTTGTGATACATAATATATTATTTTTTCTGCCATAATAACTAACTTTTTTCTGTACCCCTAAACAACCTATCGCGTACCCCTAGGGGTACGCGTACCACAGGTTGGGAATCGCTGGTCTAGGCTAATAGCCCATAATCGCTAATAATTGACGAATTGGCGGATATTAATGTAACAAAAGTTTTGTTTATCATTGTAAAATATTTTTCAAAGAACAAATGATAACTACATTATATAGACTAATTAAACTAGAAGAATGCATTGCAATTGCAAATGCATTGAAGAAGCAACTTCAAGATGATGATTTTGAATAAAAAAAATAGTTGGTATTGATATAGATGGAGCAGGTGTGATGGTCGGTGTTCAACACCGTAAGTGCTTTGTAAAAAACCGATGTGCCTGACATGATTGTGATTAACTTTGTCATTCACTGCATTTTAGTGCCGAAAAAGCATGTAAAACGCTTTCTCGCCAATCTGGGTACTTAATTCGCGAAGCGTACAATGCATTCAAACTCAATAATAACTGACAATGACTATAACCAATGTTTTTATTGTTCGTCTTTGTAAAACGTTGACACCAGTCGTTATCGTTGATCTTTTTTAATCGTTCGTCGTTCGAAAGTTAGTCAAGATTCAAATTTGGCGTTGTCGTAATGCTATTGGCTAATCAGCGTGAACTTCCCACAATTCTTAGAACAAGATGGAGGATGCGCTAATGCCTTGTGTCAAAGAAAGAGGTCCTGCGAAGCTTAATAAATGAGACATACAAAAATAAATTTAAAACTCTTTTGATATGTTTTAAAATCGTAATTCCTGGATCAAACCGTGGAAATCACCTTGTTTTTCTAAATGGCCAGATGGCAGCCTACCGCTCTGGGGGACCCGGGATCGAATCCGGCAGGTCAAGGAATCCCCAGGAATTTTTCTGGGGGTGGTCCGTTCGGATATGTCGGGCCCCATCCCTCACCACCCCGTCTTCCCATTGTGGGCCGAACCGATAATGGGCCTGCTATAAGAGGCCCTCCTAGTGCCCAAAGGGTGAAAAGAGTAAAAAAAATACCTTGTTTTTCTTTCAATTTTGACTACCATCGACGTTTTGATATTTTTCTTAATAAAAGTAATAAATTCCTCTGTCGAAGTCGAAGAGTTAACAGTTTACTCTGCAATTTTAAAACAGACGAGTCCAGTCTTAAAACGCAGAAAGCCACGAAATATCGCTAATGTACTGTACATTGCGCATGCTCTAAGAAGAAAATTCACGAACAATGTGAACGCTTTGGCGATGAAGGAATACCACGAAAAACAAGCCATTTGTTACCAGTTAGGATCTATGGTCACTGTCTTATGCAGTGGAAATGCAGCCTTAGTTTTCCTGTATTTCAAAATGACAATGTGAGTTCTTTGAGCCGAGTTATAAATTAACAGCGAAGCTTGACTTGTGTTTTGTCTTTTATTCAAGTGTATTTAGTAGAGGTGGGTAGTTCCGAACTACTAATGCGTTCTTCATTTTATACTTTTATGAATACGGTTTTCCACGGACGGTGAGTTCTTTATCTGGATTTGAACTGAATTAATGAAAATGTTCCACGTGTTTTTAGGAATAATCAAATTAGTTTAGAATGTTTTAAATATACAAAGATATTTTTAAAATTAATATGCCTCAATGTTCTTAATTTATTCAAATATTATTTCATTCACAAGTACATATTTCTATTAACAGGACTTATTAAACTGGCTTTAAGGATACTGCAACTCAGTCACACAGATTAAAATTGTTTTATTTAAATTTACCTGTGTGACTGAGTTGCAGTATCCTTAAAGCCAGTTTAATGTCCTGTTAATAGAAATATGTACTTGTGAATGAAATAATATGTGATTATTTTTAAAATGTATATTTTTATTAGAGTTCGTAATTATTGTTTGATTAGTAACCAACAGATANTGTATTTAAGGATTCCTACAACGTAAAATTCTTATAAAGTGGAACGTATCTAAGCGTTATAGGGGGGTCTACTGTATATGGTCAAAAGGAACTGTATGAAACAATAGAAGGGCATGAAGCCCGGAAGGCCATAGGGGAAGTGTGGTGATTTCTAGTAATCGTGAACAAATCAAAAGGCGAGATAAAATTAACAAGAACATTTATTAGCTTGCATCCAACTTGGATTTTACACAAAAGACATCTGCTATCGTGAACAATTGACCAAAAAAGTATACATTTATCAGACAATAGACAAAGACTCAGTTTGTAAACAATTTACCTTTTGTATATACAACTGACACTCGATCCAGAGCGGTCTTTCAATGACCGGACAAAAAAAAATGAACAGATGACGCTTAACTTAAGCGCAGTTTACAAAACAAATATGATTAATCTTAACAGGAACAGATAAACCAGTTGGGAACCGTGGAAGAGAGAGACGTGAACGTGTCAGCTTCCGGTACGATTAGGCATCGTGCGAAATATACGAGAGTCATAAGATGCTGAGGAGGTAACTATCGGACGATCTAAGGAACGAAAACGTGAATATTAGAGCCTGACAACTAATTCTGGAGTGACGATATCCGAAAATCCCTATTACGCACTAGTGAGCATCATAGAGATCCAAATACGGAACATTGGGTACTCATTTTTCTATTTCCTCAATCTGTCCTATCCTCAAACTTATTCCATAGTATACCCATATAATTAGTTATAAGTTTTATTTTAGTCTATTTTAAGTTATTCTACGCGTAAAGTACCATGTGGTCGATGTTGAGAATTCTCGCCAACCCAATTGATCTCTGTGATTTTTTTGTATCTAGCATTAATAATTAGTATTAAGTGTGTCGTGTGCCGGGATCGAGACTGCCTGGCGTCTGATATTTGTGCACCTGTATATACAGGTTCACAAATATCAGATGCCAGGCAGTATCGATCCCGTAATAGAACAAATAAAGTTTTCTTTGTTCATCTACTATTTGTTAGTACTGTATTAGATAAAAACTTCATTTTCACACATTACGTTACTTGAGTCCATTTCTTATAGATTCATTGTAGAATGTTTAGCAGGTTTTACAATAATTATGTTAGTACTTAATTAAGCAAAGAAAGAAGTACAAATGTTATTATTGTTTTTGTTTACAGGTTACAGATACAATATACGACTTTCTTACCGTAACATGTCTGGCCTAGGCCCCAAGAGAAATAGAGATATCGGGAGGAAATGGGAATCTGGATCAGCAAAAAGAAAAAGAAAAGCTGAAAGAGCTGTATCAAATCAGGTTTTAAGTTTAGGTATGATGAAGTTTCTCAATCAAACTGCATCTGGTAGTACAGAATCATCTGAATCGGTTGCTTCAACTTCTAAAAAACAAAGAGCCACGTCCGAGACTCCGAATTTAGGAAGTACTCCAGACGCTCTGAATACCGATACCGAACGACAGTCAGAAATAGAGATAGAATCAAACTCTAGCCAATTAGAATCTGACGTTGAAATTCCTGTGTTGACGTTGAGCAATATAATTCACGATCACAAAGAACAGATTGAGATAGGTTCTCCGCCAGTTAGCAGCGACGCAGTAATGTAGTTAAACAAGCATTTGGTAATTTGGGTCTGGGAATGTGGACGTTTCCCATAACGGATTCTCAGCGTCATGATATAGTTCAAAGCGGCCCCACACAGCAGTTAAATAACAGTGATAAAGATTATCCCAAACATGATGATCATAGGCACTTTTCTAATTTTCATTTCTCAAGAAAACTAAATAATGGTGAAATTCAACATCGTCGCTGGTTGGTTTATTCAAAATCTCAAAATAAAGTTTTCTGTTTTCCATGCAGACTATTTGGCAATTTACAAACTCAGATGGTACAGGGAGGGTGCTGTGACTGGAAACACTTAAGTAGTATTTTACATAGACATGAGAATACCAAAGAACATATGGCCTTTATGTTCAAATGGATAACATTAGAGAAAGGAATCAAGCACGGAAAAACAATAGACCAAGAAAACGAAAGGCTAATTCGTGAATCTCAAAAACATTGGCACAATTTGTTTGAGAGATTAATTGATATCATTAATTTCTTAGCCTCTCATAATCTGGCATTTAGAGGTTACAGAGAATCTCTCAAGATAGACGACGACACTAGGAATTCTGGTAACTTCATAGACTTATTTAAATTGATATCCAAATTTGATCCTACGTTACGGGAACATATGAAACTCATTAGTGACAAAGAACTTGCACACTATTATCTAAACCACGATATTCAAAATGAATTGATCACATTGATGTCAAAAACAATTACCGATGAAGTTATTCGTAGGGTAAAAGAAGCAAAATATTATTCTTTTTTGCTCGACTGCACTAAAGACTGCAGTAGAGTTGAACAAATGTCAGTTATCTTAAGATTTTGTAATACATCAACCGGCACAATAGAAGAAAATTTTATCGGATTTCTTGCTGTCACTGAGACGACTGGAGAATATTTAACTAATGCAATACTGGGAGAGCTAGAAAAAATGGCTTAAATATTCAAAACTGTCGGGCCAAGGATATGACAATGGTGCAAATATGGTAGGCGTAAATAGTGGAGTTAAAACTCGAATATTAAATATTAATCCCAGGGCATTTTTTACACCTTGCGGTTGTCATAGCTGGAATCTGCTGTTGGTAGACGCAGCTAATTCTTCTGTGGCAGCAAAAACATTTTTTGGTTTTATTCAAAAAATTTATTTGCTATTTTCAAGTTCCAGCAAACTCTGGGAATTAATCAAAGGCAAATTAAATGTGTCTGATAAAGGCTTACTATAAAGCCTGATAAAGTCTGATAAAGGCTTACTATAAAGCCTTTATCAGACACAAGGTGGGAAAGCAGAATCGAGGCAGTAAAGACCATATTATTGCAATTTGATGATGTTGTTGAATGCATCGAAAGCTTAAAAAATCAAACAGAACGATCAGACACTCTCAATGATTGTGATTCGGTTTTAAACGAAATGCTCAGTTTAGAATTTATCATATCATTACATGTGTGGTATGAGATATTATCGCGTGTTAATATCATAAGCAAATTATGGCAATCTGTACAAGTCCATTTAAGCATTACTCTTGAACATTTGCGTACATTTTGCGACTGGATCAAAGAATATCGACAAACTGGATTCGAAAAATGCTTGTCTGACGCTCGTCAATTTATTGAGAGTAGCAGTTATGAACTGCCAAAAGACTTTAAAAACGAAAAGATAGACAAAAAGAAAAGGATGTTCGATTACGAAGGCAGCTATCAACTTATACAGTCTCCCAAAAGCCGGTATGAAACAGATATTTTTAACATTACGATTGATTCTATAATAAGCAACATGGATTCGATATTTATGTCTTTAAAATCAACATTTTGAAAATTTTGGTTTTCTCTATGATCTAAGCAAGTTAAAAAATATTCCAAAAGAGCAAATATTAAAAAGCTGTCAAGATTTACACTCAGTCCTGCGAGTGAGTGAGTGCAGTGACTTCCAACCTTACGAATTATATGAAGAATTACAAACAATGATTCCAAATTTACCCAACTTCATTAAAGATGTGAAACAGCTGCTCCAATACATGACAGAAAATAACTTAAAAGAAATTTACCCAAATATTTACATTGTCATTCGAATTTTGTTAACAATACCGGTAAGTACTGCCTACGCTGAAAGGAACTTTTCAAAATTAAAACTAGTAAAAAATTATTTAAGAAACACAATGGGTCAGGAAAGACTTTCAACTTTGGCAGTTTTAGCTATTGAAGCAAATATAGCATCTAAGCTGAATTACGATACAATTATTAAGGAGTTCAGTAAGGCTAAAAGCAGGAAATTTCTGTTTCTTTAATTCTTTCTTTTTTAAATTTTTTTGAATGTTAGTCAAAGAATACAGTTTGCATTTTTATGAATAAAAATTTGAGTTTCAACTGCTTTTTATTTTATAAAATCTGTCTTCTTGCGCCATCAGAGGGTCTCGCGAAATGTACCTTGCCCACATCAAATTTAGGTCTTGCCCAGCCACTGTCCGAGGATATCCTGCGCAACCTGTTGACCTTTTTTTTTTGCTTGTACGATTCATTCATATTCATATACACTACCTATATCCAATAGAGCTATTTTAAACAGGTCGCTGCACTAGCACGGAATTTTTCATTGCTTATTCTGTGACAAAACTGAATTTTAGTCTTTTAAATTGAGATACCTAAATAAGGGGGGCGTAATTTTCCTCCGCCCGGGAGGCTGACACCCACGCTACGCCATTGGATTAACATTTGGATCTTATTAAATAAGGCTAGAAAATAATGAACAATGAGGTTAATATCAGTTTTTTTTCTCATTAGGTCGTGTACAGACTTCAGCACGAACGCGAATGAAAAAGAGAAAGCGTGGACGTCGCGCGAAACGCGGCAGAATATCTCAAAAACTATTTGTCGCACGGCCTCAAAGCGATTCAGCGTCTTTCGGTCCATCAAAGGAAATTCGTGAGCAGTGTAACGCTGGTCCGAACTGCCGTCTCCAAATTGGAAACATTTCAACGTTGGCAAGTTGGAAATGGCAAAATTGATTTAGAAGAAAATTTTTGGACTAGGAGAAAACTAGGAGAAAATTTGAGGTAAAAAATCTAGGGAATATTTTCTATGCGAGATGAAAATACTCGGAATTTACAGTCACAGAATAAAAATATACAGTATTTGTATTTTGATACAGTAACAGAAGGCAGGATGGCCGAGCGGTCAAGATGGCAGCCCACCACTGTAGGGGACCCGGGTTCGAATCCGAACGGGTCGAAAAATCACCAGGAATTTATCGGGGGATGGTCCGTTCGGAAATGTCTGGCCCCATTGTGGGCCTGGCCGAACCCATAACGGGCTTGCAAAAAGAGGCCCTCTTAGTGGAAACAGTTTTAAAAAAAAGTAACAGATTTTTATCATAACCAAAAGACCACCATTACAATGCCAGAGCAGACTAAGGACAAAGCATATCTCTCCTCCTCTTATTTTTCTCCACGACTAAGAAAAATCTGTTTAACTTATTATCGAGTGATCTCAACTCATCTAACTAAGGTTAGACCGAAACCAAAAGTTCGGTCGGAAACCACATCCAGCATGCTTTGCGAGTTTTATTTCATCTTTCGTTTTGCAACGTTTATTTCATCTTTCGTTTTGCATCGAGGCACGAGGAGTATGGATGCTGGCTACTGAAAAATCTAACAAAGAAGAAACAGCATTAAATGAAATTAAAAGATGGAAGAACAATAGTTGTTGAAGTTAGAAAGTTCATTAACAGTGCGGACAGTACACGTAAATGTTACTCTTTATGTATAGAAACGTTGAAGTCGAGCGGAGTAATGCTGTTGTAACCGTGTGAAGTTGAAGTTATTGTTTTTGTTTCTTCGAGCCGCAAAGGCTCGAAGAAACAAAAACAAGTATTCCCTTTAATAACGAGGCGTAGACCCGTGTTTATTAGTGTTCGTTTTACTAGAGTTGTTGCTACTGTGTAGCATTACTATTTGCTTGAACAAATACTGTGAGCTTACTTTTACAGCATATAATAGAGGAAAAGGTGGTATATGGAACACTGCGGGTATTATGGAACCACTCTATTTCGAACTGATAATAAAGGCGAACTGTAGTGGATTGTGGCTGAACTGAACTAGGCAGACATCCATAGCAAGGGGAAAACCCGTTTCATTTCAGTTAAACGGTTGTCCGTAGTGAATCAGCAAATTTGTGTTTTTCAAAATTCGAAAGTTTTGAATGCTAAGTGAATTTAATTATTTTTAAAATATAAATCGTGTAGTTGTAGGTTCACTTGTGCACGTATTCCGTTCCAGAGACTTAGGGGTACAGTACATATTAATCTGTGTGATATTCACGTTTTTTTTAAATTTGGTCTTGACAGACATAAGTTAATTCAAGATGGCGATTCAATTGATGCTTTTAATATGGACTCCATTGGTGCTTTTAATATGGAACCCAACTCCTCTGGAAACCCAACACCTCCGAACTCTCTATTCGCAAGCAGACATTCGTCGGAGCAATTTGTGAAAAAGACACTAGGTAGAAAGCCAATTCTTTCTGAGAATATCGAAAAAGAGTTGCTGGAATATATATTGTTGATGGATGTCATATTTTTCAATTATAAAAGCATTCTTTCGATAAAATACATTGGAGTAAATAATTTTGTAATTATTTAACTTGCTTTGTACTTTCCTATTTGTTTTTAGATACATTAAAGCATTTCTTGAAAACATACAGTAAGGTTCCATCTTACCACCCGATTTTCTCTAAGCCTACTTTCTGACTTTTTGTACAGAAGCCTTCAAAAACCATACTTATAGTTACACTAGCGAAAAATCCAATTAGGAACATTTAGTTTACTAGTTACCAGTACTTTTCGCACAAAAAATGAGGGTGTACTTATGATACCTTGTTTACAATTCACTAAAATGAAAATGGGGTTCCATAATACCACCTTCTCCTCTACTCTGTATATGCTGGAAAGTAAGCTGCTCGTTCTTTGTTTTTAGGTGGTTGCCTTGCCATTGTGATGGGTGCAACAAAACAAAAACGGTGTAGAAGTACAAGAAGCTTGGAAAGAAGCAGAGATTTTCGAATTTATACTTGCATTAATTTTATTTGTACTGTTACATGGTTGAACTTTCCTGACTAATACAGTTGTCCCTCTATAGTCCGACGTTTTTTAATCCGACATGCTCAGTAGTCCGACGCACCTCCCGTCAAGGTACCCGTCCCCGTTACGTGTCTGCTTGCACAGAAGCATGTCGCGATGTGAATCTCCCCATCCAATTTTTACACGATGACACACATTTCGTGTGTTTTATGTGAGCAGTTCTGTTCGAACAGTTGGAGTAGAGAATATTGTAAGTTACTGCTAGCAAAACAATGCGAAATATGTAATTATTTTCGGTAATC